TAGAAATATGGAAAAAGATGTTTGAAGGTTCAGTTCATTGTATTATTTATAAATATCTAGATAGCTTAATTATCCTAACATAATTGTATAATAAAATTACTTTAAAAAATTTACAGACATGTATTTTTCTACTTTAACTCTAGTCTTTTAGTAAACAATATATTAATATATATTAAGCTTCTATAGAAAATGTTCAATTTTATTGAAAATACAAACAAGAAAATCATTTATTGATTGACTTTAGTATTTTAAATTAAATTGTATCAATGGAAAAACTTTTGATTTCTATTTAAAACTATTGAATTATTTAAGAAAATAATATCAAAATATTCTTAATAAGCAATAAATTAATAAAGAGAATTTATTTGATTTTGGATCTTCAATCAATCAGAACAATGCATTTGATTATCTAAAATGTTCGACACAGTAGACAGAACTTTGCATAAGGTCATGAAAAGAAAAGAATAAAAGAAGTCAAAATCTGATAGAGATGCTTGCTACATATTATGCGGGTTATTAACAGGTTTAGAAGTATAAGTGGAAATTACAATTAAAACAGAAGCCATTTCAACGGTATAAGAGGATTATTTAAAAAAAATCAAATATCTGCAACTTAGCTCTTATTTTTGGTTGGACTGATTCATCTCATTTTTTGACTTTTGAGAGAGAGAAGATTTTATTTAGTTTACTCAATTTCCTTCATCAATAAGTTTATTTGAAAAATAGTAATTATCAAAGTTTAAGATTCCCTAATTAATTCTAATAGAATTTGTTATTTGTTCAAATAATTATGGAACTGAATTAAATAGATTATTATAACTTCTACAGTCTTTTGAATCATAAATTATTGTTTGATATATAAGTTTAAATTAATGATATAATAAAGTGATTAGTATCAAATTAAATAATTGTTGTAGTATAAATAATATATTAATTGTTGATTAAACTATTTTAAATATTAATAAGAAAAATATATAATAATTCATTTTTTACTATTAATGTGATTTGTAATGTAAATTTGTGATCATTTTTATTTATTTCTTTTAAAAATGGAAATCTTTAAATGCAAATATCTTGCCCATGAAAATGAAGAAATAATAGGGTTTTGCTTAAATTGGTATTGCCAAAAACCTACTTAATATTGTTATGAATGTTTGAATACAACTCATTCAGAACATTTCAATGATTGTATTAGATTCCCTAAAATGATCTAATTGATAAATCAATTCATTAAAATTTATAATCAATCAATGAACTAATTTAAAGAAGCTGCAAAACAACTTTAGAATTGTTGTGAATAGATTATTAAAAAAATAGATTAAGATATTAAAATATTAGAAAATATGAACCTCTGACTTTGGGACAAAGATTATTTTACTTTGAAATCATAAATTCATATCATCAAACAGTTTTACTAAAAGGAAAAAGAAAATTACATATGTATATCTTTTTATAGATTATTTTAATAGAATAAATATTATAATTGAATAATATTCTCGAGACAATCAAAAATATGGAACCAAAATTAATTTAAGAAAATGATTAAATTAATTCAGGTCTATAAAGAAATATCAAAATCATAGAGATAAATCAGGAAAACAATGAATAAAAACAGGGGAATATTGAAGAGGCTGAAAAATTATTTAAATAAGGTATTAGTCATTTTATGATATTTTAGGGGAGGCATTACATAATTTACAGAAATATTAAGAAGCTATCGATTGTTACGATAAAGCTATTTAAATTAATTCAAAATATGAAATTGCATGGAATAATAAGGGTAATTAATTTATAAATATTATTTTTAGGATCTGCATTACGCAAATTACAGTAATATTAAGAAGCTATCGATTGTTACGATAAAGCTATTTAAATTAATCAAAAATATGACATTGCATGGAATAATAAGGGTAATTAATTTCTGAACATTATTTTTAGGATCTGCATTACGCAAATTACAGAAATACTATGAAGCTATCGATTGTTACGATAAAGCTATTTAAATTAATTCAAAATATAACATAGCCTGGAATAACAAGGGTAAATTATGTTACAATTAGGCTATTCCCTACATTAATTAAAGAAATATAAAGATGCCATTGTATGTTATGATTAAAGATTATCTATTTGCCCAGATCCTGTAACATTAAAGTTAAAAGGTTTATTTATTTTAATTTAAATTTAGCTGATTCATTATTTGAATTAGGGAACAAAAGAGAAGCTAAACTATGTTATATTACTGCATTGGAAAAAGGATCAAATGAGAAAGATTTTATTAAGAAATAACTATCAAAGTTATGAACCATTATCATATCATAAATTACACATTATCAAATCAAATTATTTATTTCATTCAACTTTTTGTAAATTACATTCAGAATGACAGCACTAAAAAATGGATGATGAAATCAAATCATCCTTTGTAATATAATTCACTTTTGCAAATAGAGTTGATGCAGATGTATGTTCTACCAAAGATAAAGGCACTTATGGAATTTTTTTAAATGGAGTATCAAATCGAACTACTTGATTATGAATTTATGGTCCTTTGACTTCATCAAAAAATAACTACTATTACTAATAAATGC